AAAACCACTGCATTAAGTAATTGGGTGGTGGGGTAGGAAGTAAGAAAAATATGAAGAGATAGATGAAACAAAATTATCCAAATGTCGATAATTAAAGGAGAATGATGGAGATATGAGAGTTCATTATACTATTCTTTCCACTGTGTGCATGATTGAAAATTTCTATAATAAAATGTTAGAACAACCATCTTGCTTTATTTTTTCTTAGGGGAGATTTAGCTGGTAATTTTTCATAAGAGAGATAGGCATACAAACTCTGAATCTATAGCAAATGAAGATTTTAAGACTATGTTTAAAGCATGGCAATGTTGAAATTTTTCTTTTTGTAGAGCTCAGGTATTTATTTATTAAATAAATACATAAAGGGGGGAAAGAGGGAGAGGGAAAGAGACAGACAGACACCCCCAACAGGGTCCCCACATCATGCTCTCCCCCCAGTCCCAGCCGGTACGGATCACTGGCATGTTCCTGTTTGTCCAGCATGCTCAAGAAGGTTCTGGGACAACCACCCAAAACCTTCCCCATGTGGAAGGGGAAGTTGCACAGTTACACTACCACTGTGGTATCATTTGTCCTTGGGTTTTTCTTCCTTACAGAGAAAAATTAATGAGCAAAATGCGTAAACTATATGTGTGTGTGTGTGTATGTATATGTATATATGTATTTATCTGTCTTTAGACATTCAGGTAGTTACCAAATTAATTACATCAACTTGCCTGTATCATCTGCTGAAGGAGGAAGAGTGAAGAGAGTCTAGGAGAGGAAGAGAGGGGTACTGACAGGTTAAACATGCTAGGCATATCATCTGCACCTTTTGTGCTATTCAGGGTCAATCTGCAATTTCAATGAGAAAACATTTTCTTGTTTAGGGCTTCCTTTTTGTGGAATTTATGCATAAAAATCATCCATTACTGGTAATCCTTTCAGGAGATTTCCTGAAGCAGCATAAAAAGCAAACATACAATTTTTTCTGCGACAAAAGATTTTACCCTAACCAAAGGAAGCAAGGTACTGGATCAGTTCTCTTTCAGAAGCATTTTTATTTCTCAAATACCATAGATAATTTTATAGATATCTGAGAATAATGGATGAATACAAATCGAAGGATGTACATATCTTGCTACTAAGCTAATCTTTATTTTATTTGAAACAAATAGCAGACAACAATAAGGAAAATACAAGTGTAAATAATTCTATTGTGTGCTCAAAAATAAAAGGGAAGTAAAAGCCAAAGTACAATGTCTATTGGGTTAATAAAGTTGTTTTTTTATTTCCTTATAATAATACAATTTGGCAGGGTTCCACCTACATTAACGTATTTCCTGGCATAAGATACTCACTGTGTTTTTTTCTCTCCTTTGGTAAACTTGCTTTATTGACATTACTGTTAATTGAGGGCTTCTAGATATAACCACAACACAGAAAATTAAGAAGGAAAAGTTGTTTATAAAACAGGAAAATGTTGCTTTCAAAATTGTAGTATTAACACAGCAACTTCCATTCACTGAAACAACAGTTGTAGTTTTTACAAGTATAGTATGAGTTGTTGGAGATGGTGACAATAAGGATCAATATTGGGGAAAACAATTGAGTTGATTCAAGGGTATTTTATTTTATCCTCCTGGAATGAATCTGAAAGAAAGCTTCTACCTAAATTATTCCTCTCTTAAGTATCATCTGCAAATGTTGATTACAGTATGAAAATGGATCATTTTGACTTTTGTATTTGGTGAAGCATAAAATTTAATAACAGAGACTCCAGAGTCAGCCTGCTTGGGTTAAAGATCTGGCCCTTTAACTTGATAACTGCATTACTGTTGGTGAGTTACTGGATCTCTGTAAAAATGCTGATTCAACTTCCTCATCTGAAAAAATAGGGATAATAATAGGATTTTGGGGAGAGCTAAATAAAAATATTTAGAATGCCACTTGACACATGGTTAAGTGTTAAAAATATAAGCTAATATGTGATGATGTAACTTCTGATCCTCACGAAGGGATATGATACAGAAAGGAAAGAGCTAGAACAAATTACTTTAAAGAAATGACTACTTACTTGTTAACAGGAAAAAAAACCCTATTATTTTGTGATATTAATATACGGAACAAGTTGAGGAGTAGGTAAATAGTCAACAAGCCTAGTAGTCAACACATCAGCAGGATGAGAGAAACCAGTCTGAACGATTGATATGTCAAAACTAACAACAGCTCTGGAGGCTAATCCCATGAGAAAATCTGCTTCCCTCTCCAAAAGAAAATGGTTACTAGCACTGATTTTGAAGTCTCTGACATCAAGAATCATGGAATTTCATCAATTCATTTAGTCATACTTGAGACCAGCAGCTATTTTGAAATTAAAGTTCAGTACCACATATGATGGACATTCAGGTTGAATCTGAATCAGAAATGAAGTCATCAGTCAGAGTGACTTTGAATGTCCTGCTGTCATTATTTTTATTAAACTCAAAGGAGGATTAACATTGAGTCAAATTACATAAAATATAAGTATAAACTCCAAATGCATTCTGATTTACATTCATTTTCAAGTGCCACATTCACTCTGTCTTTCCGCATCAGGACCAAGCCATGATTCAGAGGCAACCCACTGATGAGTCATCCTCTGCTGATGTTTGGATGGGTCAGAACGCCCTGCGTGGGTTGAGGAGGAGGAGGAGGCAGAGAGGCAAAAGGCTCCCTTGGGCGTGACATAGCAGAACCTAAGAGGCTAGGATCTGAGCCCCAGAACCGGGAAGAAGGACCAAATAGACAACATCCCTAGTTCTCAGAGGACTCAACTTTCAAGTGTCTCATGAGTGAGACTTACCATGTGCTCAGAGGATACTCAGAATCTTTTGATAAATATGGAGGTTTTATAGGCAGAGAAAGATACCATTTCCAACCTAAAAGGAACAGTCTTCTGTTCCCCAGATGGTTCTGATCTTTGACGTTATAGAAAGAGTACTACCAAACAAAGAACAACCAAAACACCACAGCTGAAATTCCCCACAAAGTGATCCCACTTGGTGCAGAAAACCATCCAAACAAGCACAAACTAATAAGGGTCCTCTGAGAAGTATTCTAGTTGTTCAAGATTCAAACTTTGCATTCCTTATTCCTTAATTTCCTTTTTATCACACTCTAGCACACTTTTCCTCTGTACAGTGGCCCTTTTCTCTAGGGTCATTTCCCTTTGGCCCATTCTAATCGTGAGCATCTCCAATTTCTACTCCCAGCCTACCATCTGACTACACCCCAGTCCAACCTCTAACATCTGTACATATTGAGAGGCTCTTGGCCAATGGAATTTCTCATTCCTCCAAGGGCCACACATCTAGGTTAAAGCAATCACTTTCATAGCAAATCAAGACAGAAGGAACTTTTTTGACTTCTGAATCAGGCAAGAAGGAATGCTTGTCACACTGAATTTGACATTCAAATAAAGACTGAGATATTACAATATCTGGCTTTAAAAACATGAAAACCTGAAAAGTTTTATAGCCTCCAGTTTGAATGGTCATTGCTGCTGTGGTTCCACTTTTTCAGTTACTAGAACCCATACAGTCACGAGACCCCTGGCCTAAGGGACACTGAGGCAGAGTCCCCTGCCCCAGTTCCAGTCCCAGCACCCCCAAGCCCAGAGACCTCTATCTCTGTCAGCCAGGACTGCCCTCAGCTCTACAGCAACCCCACTTCCATCTCCAGACCCCTGGCCTAAGGGACACTGAGGCAGGGTCCTCTGCCCCAGCTCCAGCCCCAGCACCCCCAAGCCCAGAGACCTCTATCTCTATCAGCCATGTAGGGATATTTTTCCTTCTCCACTTCTTTCATTTGTAAATTTCACACTTCTTATCATGCAGGATCGCCCTCAGCTCTACAGCAATCCCACTTCCATCTCCAGACCCCTGGTGAAATCGCGCACTGCACTAGTGCGCGATGCACGATTTTTTCTTTATTCTCCTTCTTACTTTCTTCCCACTTATTTAGTCCTCTCTTCCTCTGCCCTTCTGGACGGTCTAGATAGGTCTAGAATCACAGTTCTGAAATATTCTAGTATTGTGAGACTCTCTGGGATCCTCCCTTTTACTGAACCACCTGTGAAAAAGGAAATACTTTTCTTCAGACACCTGAAGAGAATACTCCTCAGACACATTGCTAAATACAACAGAAGAGACACTTCGGCAGTCTTCAACCCACAGCAAAAGGGAGACACACTTGCTCCTAGTTGAAGAAACATTCTCCTAAAAGTATTCCAAACTGAGTACATCTCCCAATGGCTAGAAGTAGAAGAGCCTCAGGTCTGAATAAACCAGGAAATATGTCTCCATTAAAAGAACACAGTAACTCCCTTCCATTTCTTGAAAAAAAAAAAACAAAACAGAGAATGTTACCAAAATATCAAGAGAAAGAATTTAGAACATTCATGGTGACCAAATTGTATGAGTTGGAACAGGAAAGAGACAATGAACTACAGGAGATTAGGAAGTCCTTCCATGTTATGAAAGAAGAAATGGACACGCTAAGAAAGAATCAGATGAAGTCTGTAATGCAGGAAATTAAAAACTCTCTCGAAAGTATTAAAAGTCAATTAGACCATGCTGAAGATTGAATCTCTGACATACAAGATAAAACCGCTGACCTAGAGAAAACCACCAAAATGATAGAGCCCATACAGTCACATATGGGACTTTAGAGATTACTTCTCTTTGTATTCCACCCTCTGTACCAGCACCTAGCTGAACAAAAAGCCCCAAATTAGTAGCTGGTCATTTATTTTTGATGCATAATGGAGGTAATAGTTGGATAATATCTTCTCCATTATAGAAAGTAGACTGGCCCTATGTTATATGTATTTACAGATTATGAGCCTAGAGAAGCCCAGATCAATAACTTGTCATAGTATTTGTTGCATGAGTTGACTACTACTGCATCACAAACCTCCTCAAATATCAGTGGTTTAAAACAACTGATTTAGTATTACTCACAAGTCTGCAGTTGGCTAGGGTCAGCTGATCTAAGCTGGATTCTGCCCAGGAAGCTCAGCTCCACGTGTCTCATCTCCAGGGATGTTCTTCTTATAGGATGACAGAGCTACAGGAGAGCAAGTAGATACATGTAAGCTTCAAACTGGCACCCTGACACTCCTATCATATTCCTTTGAACAAAGGAAGTGACATGTTTTTTAGCTCAAGGAGGTGGCAAAATACACTGTGCCTTTATGGAGGAACTCCAAAGTCACATAAAAAAAGATATGATACAGGGAGGGGTAAAAAGTTTGAACTAGCCTTGCAGTTTATCACAATTACAATGTCTGAGAATAGGCAACTTGACTATAGGGGAGTTTTGTGGATGTTAAAATAAGAAATGAATTTTGAATGTCATCAGTTGCAAGGTCCTCACTCCCTTCAAATGCTTATTCATTCAGTTCTTACTACTTCCAGGAAGGTCAAAATGGATGAAACAAAAATTTGCTATGTTCAGATAAATGTGACTCATCAGAGAGCCATGAGGTACCTGGTCTCACATGACAATCTCTCCCATTGCACCTCTGCACAGTAGGTAATACAGAAAGAAATTAACTTATTTCTTCCAGGAAGATGGGTTTATCTGGAAATTCCAAACCTTACACAAGTTCCCATCAGTAAATTAACTACAGTGGCTTTTATAGATGTAGAGGTGTTAAAATTAGAATCCCATGATAACCAAAACCTTTGAAGCATTTTCATTGCTCTCTTCCTAGTTTAATTAAGTCAACTTCCCTCATGGTCATCCAAATGAACAATACAAATTTCTTAGTGTCAAAACTACGATTCTGATATGTAAGAATCCACTGAAGCACATAACAAAACACAAAGGAAGCTTATCCACAGAAAGTTTTTATGGTTGGTGTTTTCAGTTTCATGAGAAGATGCAATATGAAACAAACTGCAATTAAAGTACCTTCAGAAATATCTTGCTTTGGCTTTGGCAATTATATAGCTACCTTGCTTCTGGTGGCAATTAGAATTTTATATGTACTGAAGAAAATAATTTTCCTCCAGTGCTCAAATTTGAAAGCTCTGTGTACTATATGAAACAAGCAAAAGGTAGCCTATGGTGATTAATTAGGGGTTAGATAGTCAGAAATACTACAAAGCAAATCACCAGAGCAACTTTTCTGTAAGAATTGAGTTTATAAACCTCTTGCTTCATTTGTACACAAACAGAAAAGTGCTTTAGCTTCAACTGTATGCATGTTCTCTTGAGAAGGATGCTTCTGCAATAGAATAGGAATATCAGGTAAAAGAACATTAGAGCCATTCTTTAACAGAAAAACAAGCCAAAACACTCACCCACTCAGCTTTTCCCAGAGCTCTTTACTTCAGGAAGATACACATGACTGCAATAAGAAATTGATGTAATAAAGATCCTACTTATGTTACATTTACAGCCAGTCCCGGAGAGACAGCTAATGGCACTCTAAAAATGGTCATTCTGTCAGAATTTTGGTGTCGATTACTGATTACACACAGAGTGACATCAAAAACTCAGTGACGGCACAAACAGCACCTGGCCAGGGCCTGTGCATGAACACAGACATTTGGTACATGAATATATTTGGTTCATTTGATTAAAACTCCTGGTATCATTAGCCAGCAGGGAAAATTAGAATTAGTCAGCTCTTTATTTTCTTTTTTAGTTCAATATCTACAAACCTATTCCAATTAGTGTAACCATAAGGGATGAAGCAAATGACGATTACAATTCATGAGAAGTTTTATACAACCTGGCAGAAATAACAGAAACAATGCTGCTCTGAGAGCCAGAGCACAGCTAGTAACAATAGCTAGCATTTAATTCACACTTCTCTTGGTGCCTGGTACTGTGCTGAGTGCTCTGTGTGCATTAATCTTCAACAACCCTACAACATGGCTGCTGTTGCCATCTCCATCTTACAGAAGAAGCTGAGAGAGAGATACTCAGAAACTGCTTCAATCTCACAGCAATACCAGCATCTATTTTCAGAACTAAAGCCCTTCCCATTCTAGCACAGTGTCAAAGTGTGTTGGACTCCAGTCCCTGTATTTTCGTATCTTGAAGTGAGTCCTTCAACAAATTGTTTTCTTTCTGTGGGCCTGTTTTCATACAGAAGTGAAGTAGTTGGGCTAGATCAAAGGTTTGCAACCTTGGCTGCAATTAGGTTCACTTGGAGTGCTCTTCTAAGGCAGTTTGTTGAGTATTTACTGTGTGCCAAGCATCTCTTTTGATTTTCTCAATAGTACTCTGAGATCTCATTGAAGAACACCAGATCTCATGAAAGAAAAATGGAGGTTTGAGAAGTTTGGTAACTTGTCTAGATTATAGTTCATAGGCTTTGATTCAAGCACATGGGCCAATGACAGTTCAGGGCTCTAGAATTTTGTGACAGCCACTCTGGGACTTTGAGTTTTGGGATGAATTATTGCCTTTCTTTAGTGACTTGGGACTGCTCTCCCTTTTTCTATGCTCATCCCTTTATAACATAGCCTTCCCATAATTTCCTAAGTGCTCTTTCTAAAATGTACATCTTCTCACCTTGAAGTCTGACATTGTGTCTTCAGAGCTTGCTGGATATTTTGTTCTCCTTAATGTAGTGTATGAAGTACTTCATGATCTGGTTAGTTCTCCAATCTCATTTCCCACCAATGCCTACCCTCCTCCACTTTGGGTGAAATGTGTCACATGGTTCCTCACACCTATGTTTTCACACATATTGCTGTTTCTTCCCAAGGATGGCCTGTCCCTCTTCTTACACCCAGCTCAATTCCTACTCCTCTTAAGCGTAACTCAAGCATCTCCTCTTTCTTGAAGACTCCTTTTGCCATGATGGGAACTGTATCTAGATTATAGTTCATAGGCTTTGATTCAAGCACATGGGCCAATGACAGTTCAGGGCTCTAGAATTTTGTGACAGCCACTCTGGGACTTTGAGTTTTGGGATGAATTATTGCCTTTCTTTAGTGACTTGGGACTGCTCTCCCTTTTTCTATGCTCATCCCTTTATAACATAGCCTTCCCATAATTTCCTAAGTGCTCTTTCTAAAATGTACATCTTCTCACCTTGAAGTCTGACATTGTGTCTTCAGAGCTTGCTGGATATTTTGTTCTCCTTAATGTAGTGTATGAAGTACTTCATGATCTGGTTAGTTCTCCAATCTCATTTCCCACCAATGCCTACCCTCCTCCACTTTGGGTGAAATGTGTCACATGGTTCCTCACACCTATGTTTTCACACATATTGCTGTTTCTTCCCAAGGATGGCCTGTCCCTCTTCTTACACCCAGCTCAATTCCTACTCCTCTTAAGCGTAACTCAAGCATCTCCTCTTTCTTGAAGACTCCTTTTGCCATGATGGGAACTGTATGGGACTCTCCTAATTTGTTCCCCCAGTACCCAGGACCTTATTTAAGATAGCTGGTTTGAATGACCACTTCGTTCTGAAGCATTTTTAGTCCTCCAATGTATAATTGACTCATTTGCCTGAATTGAACTGGAGAGGAGATGGCCTGAGAAGAGAGCAAAGTAGGAGATTTGTTCATGTCTACTACCCTCAGGCCCAAGTCTCATCATCTCACCCCTAGATTACAGTAATCACCTCCTGAGTGTTGCCACCATCTTACAGGTTCTTTCCAATGCACAGACCATGGTGACTCTTCTAAATATAAGGCAGATCATGTGACTGCTTTGCTGAAAACTCTGCAATGACTGTCATCTTGCTCTCAGTTAAAGCCCTGCTAACAAGGGCCTATGAGGCTCAATACTTGTCTGTTAGGAGCTTGTTAAAATGCAGACTCTGACCTAGTAGATCTGAGGCCAGGCAGGAGGGTTTGAATTTTTAAGCAACCCACAAGATGAGGCTGATGCTAGTGGTCCTTAGATCCAGTTCTGGGTAGTAAGGATCTCCATGATCTGGTTCTCTCTCTGCTTTCCTGTCTTATTCTCCTCCTTGCTCTCTCCACTGCAGCCATACTGACCTCCCTGCTGCTCAAAGAACACATTAGAAATGTTCCCTTGCCTTAGGGGCTGTGCACTAGCTATACCTTTTGGCCAAAATACTTTCACCAAAGATATGCATCTACATGGCTAATTCTCTTGCTTTCTTCACGTCTTTACTTAAATTTTACCTTTTCAGTGAGGTCCACCTTGATGTCCACCTTGACCACCTGATTTAATATTGCAGCCTGCTCTCTGCTTTACCTAACTTTGGGTCTCACACTTCTGAAACTGTTCTTTTTCCTCCCACAGCTCTAGTGACCTTTTAGCATATTCTATAAACTTATTTATATTTATTATTTTCTTATCTAGCTCCTCCACGATTCCAGAAAGCCAGTTCCTTGAGAAGCTCCCTCTGTGTATTATATTTGTTGAGGAACTATTGCTCTCCAAGAGTCTAGAACAATTGCCAATAAATACCCTTTGAATTGAAATGTGGTGGGTGAGTGAGAAAAGAAATGAAGGTAATGTGGTACGACTGTGTGTATTTTACTAAGTATATTTTCCTCCAAGTGTATTTTGCTTGGTACTTAGCATGTTGATATAAGACACTACTTTGCATATTCCTAAGAATTTTCTTGGTGAAGATGCAACAAAGTGGCCCAGTGCAGTGTCATAGGAAGTAAGGCACCACTCTGCAGTGCTGAAGTCTCATGAAAGACCATGGCTATGATCCTAGGTTGACCTGAAACATGCTAGGAATGGGCATATGAGTCCCTGATACTCGCTGGCTAGAAGGAGGGGTGGTGGGAATTAAGGAGTGAAAGAACTTTGTTAAGCATGCCTGTTTTTCTGTCAGTGAAATAAACAAGCACTAAAGAGTACTTGTGCCTAAGACATTTTATGGTTTACTTCGAGATGACTCAAGTTAAAATATTTTCTTCTAATAAACTTGCCATTATATTCAGAGCTAAATTTCAGGAAAGAAATTTTAAAAATGGTATTTGTAATTACTGCCTTCCATCTTACCTATGACTCAGATTGTTAAGTGCCTCTTCTGTACTTATTGCCTTCAAGTTTAGTAAAGCTATCAGGTATGCCTTTAATGATGGCAGAAGCGGATTTGCTTTTTAATTCTA